GTTAATCATGTTTCTCTGATTTTGTTAAGACAGTAATTACTTTAAAATGACTATTTCTTGTGATGATATTTTTTTACCAGAACACTAATGAGAGCCAAGATAGGTGTTTTTGTTTCCCAGTAATGATTCTCCTGCAAAGTAAGAGTTTACGGTCCGGTTTAATGTAGTAAATTGGAAAGCGTAAACCAAAGTACCAGTTTGGTATAGAGTAGAATTGAAAGTATGCCTGCAAAAAGAAAGAAATGGATGTGGCAAGGCATCCCAAGAACGATCCTGCTTGAGAAATCTACAATGACCAACAAAACAAAAAAATCTAATAATTTTGCTTGAAACCGATCAAAATAACCGATTGACTTTGGTTATTTACGCTTTGAGTGAAGACTTATGTTTTCATTTTACCAGTAGGAGTGAACGTCTCCCAGATACATCCACAAGTATAGTACCTAAAACACCTCCCAACATCTGCAAAAATGTGTTTTAAATGTTTGATAAAACATATCAAATATGAAATGTATTAACTCAATTATGTTGTTATGGTCATTGGATCGGTACTTGAACTAGAGACGTCGATATGAATCCAAAGTCACTTGATACACCTATTATCATCAGATTTAAGTAAAATTCATCACCGTAAAAAGGAAAGAAAAATTGAAGAAGAAGAAGAACGAGGTTTGTTTACCGGTAGAGGTAAAAATGGAATCAGTGTAAAAAGTATAACCAGTAAGACCTCCAAGCTCAGGCAAGGCTACAAGAGCAACTCCAATCTGTGTAAACCAATGGTTTAGATAATCAAGAAATTCAAAGAAACACTAACGTTTTTTTTAACCTTTTATGAAAAAGGTTACTTACGGTAAGTGGGAACGCGTATTTTCGCTGAAACACCTTGAAGAAACCGAGGTCACTGTCTTGTTGTTGCTTCTCATGTTCTGCATATTCCTAATGATCGTCAAAATGTTAGGAAATCAATGTGATTACAAAAATGCATATACATAGATGATATGAGTACTCATCCTTGTAGATTCTTACTAATATCTCTTTTGCTTCATCTGATATATCGGATTTTGCTCCTCGCAGGCTTAACAAAACCTCTTTAACCTCTTTTTCTCTCCCTACGTTGGCCTACAAAACCAATTTTATCTTAGTTTATTTGATTCACATTTGCATCCAATTAACTAAATTACCCATAAACCAGCTCATCCAACCGAATAGTTGCATTTGTGTTTATTAGTTGATATCACATTACATAAGAAAAATACAATAGTTGCAATAGTTGCATTTAAAAGTATAAATATCATTACCAAAGTAATTTTGAAGGTAAACACAAGAATCTAACATATAAACATAAACGCAAAAGCAAAATAAAAAGTAAAGCGCTTACTAGCCATCGAGGAGATTCGGGTAT